TTAACTTTGGTCTTCATTTATTCTTTTTCTAGTTCCTTGAGGTGTAAAGTTATGTTATTTAATTGAGACTTTTCTAGTTTCTTGAGGTAGGCATTTATTGCTATGTACTTTCCTCTTAGAACTGCTTTTGCTGCATCCTTTAAATTTTCCATTTTCATTTGTCTCAAGATATTTTTTTATTTCTCTTTCGATTTCTTCTTTGACCCATTTTTTTTTCAGTAGCATGTTGTTTAATCTTCACATATTTGTGAATTTTCTAGTTTTTTTCATGTCATTAATTTCTAGTTTCATACTATTATGATTGGAAAAGATACTCGATATGATTTCAGTCCTCTTAAATTTATTAAGATTTGATTTGTGATCTAACATATGGTTTATCTTGGCACATGTTCCATATGCACTTGAGAAGAATGTGTTGCTTTGAGATGGAATAAATATCTGTTATGTCAATCTGGTCTAACATGTTGTTTATCAGTATTTTCTTACTGATCTGTTCATTGATGTAAGTGGAGTATTGAAGTCCCTCACTACTATTATATTTCTGTTTCTCCCTTTAAATTCGTTAATATTTACTCTATATGTTTAGGTGCTCCTATGTTGGGTGCATAAATATTTACAAATGTTATAACTTGTTGGATTGACTCCTTTATCATATGTAACACCCTTCATTGTATCTTACTATAGTCTGTTTTGAAGTCTGTTTTGTCATGTATATGTATAGCTACTCCAGCTTTTTCTTTTTCTTTTTCTTTTTTTGCCATTTGCATGTGATCTCTTTTTCCATCGTTCACTTTCAGTCTGTATATCCTTACATCTAAAGTCAGTCTCTTGTAAGCAGCATATAGCTAGGTCTTATTTTTTTTATCCATTTAGCCATTCTGTCTTTTAATTGGAGAATTTAGTCTGTTTACATTTAAAGTAATTATCGATAGGTATGTGTATTATTGCATTTTGTTAATTGTTTTCTAGGGGTTTTCGTAGTTTCTATTCCTTTCTTCTCTCTTTGTGGTTTGATGACTTTCTTTAGCAGTGTGCTTCCATTCCTTTATCTTTTGTATATTTACGATAGCTTTTTGCTTTGTGGTTACCGTGAGGCTTACGTGTAACAGCTTATGGGTACTTATTTTATATAAGTCTATTTTAAGTTGCCAACAACTTAAATTTGATCTCATTGTAAAGCTCAACATTATTACTGCCCCTCTCCTACATTTTGTATTTTTGATGTCACATTTTGTATATTTTTATCTTTTGCATTCTTAACTCAGGGGTTCCCAACCCCCCTCCTTCCCTTCTCTGCCCCCCCCCCACCCACTCCTCCCCACCACAGACCAGTTTGTGGCCTGTTAGCAACTAGGTCCCACAGCAGGAGGCAAGCAAGCAAAACTTCATCTGGCAGCCACTCCCTGGCACTAACATCACCACCTCTGCTCCACCTCAGATCATCAGTCATTAGATGCTCATAGAAGCACGAGTCCCTGGTGCCAAAAAGTTTGGGAATCACTGCCTTAACTAATTATTGTAACTATAGGGTTTTCTTACTTTTGTCTTTTAACCTTTCCGCTTGTTTTATGAGTGATTAATTCACTACCTTTACCTTTCCAGTGAGACTTATCCTTTCATATGTGTTCTTTTTACTAATTAGTGTCTTTTCTTTTCAGCTTAAAGAAGTCCCTTTAACATTTTTTGTAAGGCCAGTTTAGTGGTGATGATCTGCTTTAGCTTTTGCTTGTCTGGAGAACTCTATCTCTCCATTATTTCTGTATTATAACTTTGCTGGTTAGAGTTTTTCGGGTTGGAATTTTTTTTGTTTCAGCACTTTCAATATTCCATGCCCCTCTCTTCTGGTCTGCACAGTTTCTGCTGATGGTATTATGGGGGTTCTCTTATACTTAACAAGTTTTTCTCTTGCTACTTTTAATATTCTCTCCTTATATTTAACTTGTGCTATTTCTATTATAATTTTTCTTGGTGTAGGTCTCTTAGATTTCCTCTTATTTGGACCTCTCTGGGCTTCCTGGATCCGAATGTCTGTTTCCTTTCCCAGGTTAGGGACGTTTTCAGCCATTATTTCTTCAAATAAGATTTCTGCCACTTTCTCTCTCTCCTCTTTCTGGGAGCTCTATAATGTAAATGTTAGTCTGTTTGATATTGTCCTGTAAGTTCCTTAAGCGATCGTCACTTTTTTTCCATTTTGCTGTTCTGACTAGGTGAGTTCCACTGCCTTGCCTTCAAGTTGACTGATCCTTTCTTCTGCTTCATCTAGTCTGCTCTTGAATCCCTCTAGTGTATTTTTCTATCTCTGTTGAAGTTCTCACTGTGCTCATTCATTCTACTCCCCAGTTCAGTGAGCATCTTTATAACCATTACTTTTTTTTTTTCTGAATTTTATCTTGTCTTCCTATTAGGAACATATTTCTTGTTTCTTCATTTCACTTGACTCTCTGTGTTGGTTTCTGTGCATTAGCTGAAACAACCACCTCTCTGTCTTGAAGGAGTATCTTGGTGTAGGAGATGAACCTTGTCATTCAACTATGCCCCAGCTCTTGGTTGTCTCAACCTTTGTGCTTATCCAAGCAGCTTATTATATTTTTAATAGCTCCCAGTAGTTGAGACTGTGCCAAGACTCTTAAAGTGTCTAAAGAGGGAGGATCTCAGCACCTAAATTCACTCAGGCATTCACTTTTAAAAGTATGCAAATACATCTAGTCCTGTGGGATTGCAGGCATATTTCTTGCTGGCCACCAGTGCCATGCGATTTAGAAGAGTCCCTTGGGCAGCGATCATAAAATTTGGGTCTCCAGACACAAATATATGTGTAAGCTCTTTTTTAGGTGATACCAGTGAGTCGGAGTATGGCAGAAGGAGAGCACCAAGTTGGCATCCACAGCCTACATTTCTGTGAGCAGCTCCATATGACACTAGATATGTGCCAAACCTGAAGCCTGTCCCTCATGCTGAAGCTCTGGGACAAGCAAAGAGACTTTCTTTACAGAAAGGCGAGTGGGTCAGTCCACTGTCTGTGCAGTGCTTTGGGGATGGTGGCCTGCCAAGAACTGTCTCTCCAATTGCCACAGTCCTGAGGGATCCCATAATGCAAGCCCCCTTGGCCACCAGAGCCAGGCAATTAGGGTGTATCTTGGGCAGCCGTTGCAAAAACCAGGGCATCAGACATGCATAAAGCTCCCCTCCAGAAGACACTGGCTCTCCGGAGCATGGCAAAGGGTGAGCTTGAAGACATCTGGCCTCTGAGGTCTCAAAGAAGGATTAGTCAGCTTCTAGATGTGTGCTTAATCAGCAGCCTGCCCCTCAAGCTACAGTTATGCTGATTAACTAATAGTCCTCGTCCACAAGCTCCTGGGCCTGTTACCTCTCGCCATGCTCTGGGTGTGGTAGCTGTTTAAGAACTCTTTCTCAGTTGGTTACAGTCCTTAGGGACCCACGAACATAAGTACCACTAACCACTAGAGCCAGGTGATGTAAAAGTGTGCCCCTGATAGCAATTGCAAAACTCAGGGTGCCAGACAGAATTATGAGCTCTTTTCTGGGTGACACCAATTATGACAGTCCTGTGAGACCAGGAACACAAGCTTTTCTGGCCTCCAGAGCCAGTGATCAAGTGGCGCCCCCTTGGTGGCAGTCACAGGAGGTGGGACACTAGAAACATGTCAAAGCTCCCTTCCAGAAGATACTGGTGCTCTAGAACACAGCAAAGGGAGAGCACAAAGATGGTGCCCACTAGTCTCTGTCCCCAGAGTGTTCCAGCAGGCTGCTAGGTGTGTGTGTCAAATTAGAAGTCTCAGGCAGACACTTTAATATAAGCAGGTGAACTTTCTTCACTTTAAGTCTGGGCGTGATCGCCTGCCTCTGAGCTGGGTCTTGGGGCAGGCTGCTTAAGAGCAGTTTCTCATATCACTAAAGTTAGATGCCTTGGGGCTCATCTCTCAATGTATGTCTTAAATTTGGGATGTCCAGTGTGGGGCTCCATCCATTCGCTCTGCAAGGAGAAGCTCTGGGTTTTGAGTTCCCTCTTGGTTGTAGGTCACCATACTAAAAAGGTGTTTTGGTTCCTGTTTGGGTTGGGGTCCCCAGGTGGGGGGGGGGGGGGGTTGGCGGGGGTGGTACAGTTTGTGGCAAGATTGTGTCCCAGCCTCCCACTTGTTTCGATGTGGTTTTTTTCTCATTTGCCCAATGTGCAGTTGTCACTTAGCCAGCCTTTAGGTTTTTTTAAAGAGATGTTCCACATGTAGCTGTAGACTCAGTGTGTCCTGGGGAAGAAGTGAGCCCAGGCTCTTCCTACATCATCATCTTGCACGCTCTTCTTTTTACTTATGCCTTTTTTCCTGTTCCCCATGCTCCACCCCCCAGTCTCCCACCCCCAGCACATGAGAGCAGCTTGTGGAGTCAAGTAGGGGTTGCTCAGCAGCAGGCATTTGAGCATCCCTGGCCTAATTAGTTATTGTCATTCTGCAAGTGTTGTGTGAACGCTGCTGACTGCTCTCAGATGGATCCCTGTAAAGCCTGGGGAGGAGGGGACACATGAGCAGTAGATGAGTTGCTCACAAGTTGATGGGAAATAACGTGGACAGTCAGAGCACCACAGGAGTTCTGAGAAGGGACTGCTCCTTTCTTGATGAGAAGAAGAAAGACTTATTGAACCACTGGACTGTCAGCAAATTTGGGGATGAAAAGCAGTTGTGTTTGGTAGGGTTGGGGCATCTCATCTCCTATGTGGATGATAACATATGGTGGGCAGGATGTACTATCATCCTCCTCACCCAAGACCTTGGTGGATTTTTCGTTCCAGCCACAGTTATTCAGTGGAAGTGGCTATTAAACTGTCGTGCCGTCAGTGTCTCAGCCCAGGGAGGGTGGTTTGATCATCATCTCACTTTGGGGTTTCATATGGGACAGTCTTCAAACTTGGTTTGTGTGACTGTTTTGGGTTTAGGGTTGATTCACTGCTCTTGAGTGAAAGGATTCTTCTGCCTTCCAAATTCTAGGGAAGGATCGAATCATATTTGTGACCAAAGAAGACCATGAAACTCCAAGCAGTGCAGAGCTAGTGGCTGACGACCCCAATGATCCATACGAGGAACATGGTGAGTGACCTGGGGCCTCCTAGGGACCCACAGGTATATACTGGGGGAAAAGTTCAATGCTCAAAATTCCTTTCCAATTTTGTCCTAGCCAAGGCTGGGTTTTCAGGTATGCATCTCGGCCATGGGCTATGTCTCAGGACAGTGAGTTTGTCTCCCTCAGAGGTGTAGGGGGCTCTTTTGGGGCCCCATTCTGATGCACTTCCCTGCTCATTAGGCTAGAATTTCTCCTCACTGAGGTCTTCTGCCTCTTTTTCTTCTAAGATTTCGCACTGGCTTAAGCTGTTGGTTGGATGCTTCCCAATTAAGTTGATGGGTAAGATGTCAGTGGATTCCAAAAGTTCCAGATAGGTTAAGGTGACAGGGATCCTCCTGCTCAGTCAAGTTACCAGACTGAATTCTGCCACACCTGCAGACCATTAGCCAGCAGGCATGTAAGAGTTACATACCTTGTTCTGCGATATGGTGAAATCACTTCTCTCTCCTTGTAGGTACTCCAGCAGGCACCTTGCAGGAGAAGCTCACTTGAGTTAGAGGCACAGTTTTCCAGCAGCAGGTTTCAGCTAACCTAGGCAGAGCTATTGCACACAACTCTGTTAATGGTCACTTGGGCCTAGGGCATCACTCCAAAGGCTTTGAACAGTTGGACACTAGAACTTGTCCAGCCTATATAAAGTGGGTGTGCATGTGCAGTATTCATTAATAGTCTACGTATCGTGAACAGTACTCAGCTCACCAATCTAAAGCCATTTCTGATATCCATGATGATAACTAACAAACCTTCTGGTGCTGATTGGTGTAAATACGGTTGAAAGATCTTATAGGAGCCACCTGTAGAGTATGGGCTCCTGGTTGGAATTTTTCCATGCCATTTAAAGTATATATTCTTGTATAAGTAACTTCACTTGCTACTCTTACTGATCCTGAGGATTAGAGAAAAGCTAGACAGGCGCATCTAGCACTCTTGGAAACAGTGGGAAGTGCAGATGTTAGTGTTAGATTTCTGAGAATGACAGCTACAGGAATAATCTTGAATCAGCACTCTTATAAAGAAAAATAAATCACATGTAAATTTTAATACTTTGCCTGTGTGTGTGTGTGTGTGTGTGTGTGTACTTTGCCTAGCTTTAGGTCTGTGCATTAGTTAAGCACATTTCATTAATTGATTGAGACTCAGTGGGGCCTAAAGGACAAATCAGGCCTTGTTTTGTCTTCCTCATAGTATTTTTATAAAAATTAAATGTGTCTGCCTGGAGACCCCACATTCCCCTCCAGTTCTTACTCGTCTTTATGGTCTCTCCTGTTTTTTCTCTTACCTGTTTCTGTTATTTATGGTATACCTGCTTGGAAACCCTATAGGTATTTGCCTTTGCAACCCTTTTCTGTGAATTGTATGAAGAAACATAAAAGAGAACTCTGGGACCCAGGCTCTGAGCTCTCAATTGCAAAATTACTAGTTTTAAAACATGCTGGATCTGGCTAATTTAACATGCCAAAGCTACTGTCTGTGTGGTTTTACATTGTGTCCTTGAAGTGCAAATTGGCAGCACAGTGTTCTCTGTGAAGAACTCTCTCTTTAGCTCACTTTCCCCTGATAAATAGTGAAACAAGGACTTTTGCAGACCTGGACTATTATTTTTAAATGTTAATATTATAATCTGTTATTTCTTTTGGAAACTGGTTATGCAAGTGTGTTAGCAGTTTTGAGCCTCGGGGGGGCAGCATTTGTGTAATGCTTCCAGCACCGAGATGGCCTGCCTGCAAAGTCCGGAGAGGTCACGCGATGTGAGGCAAAGAGCATGGTCTCTGGGAATCCTAAGGGCCCTGGCTGTAGTCCTGACTTGGACCCCAGTGAACCCCAGAAACTTCATGTTAGTAGTACCCACTGCAGAAGGTTGCCAAAAAGATTAGGTGATTTACCACATGTAGATTAATACATGAAAACGTGCACTGCAGCTGTCTATGATGCTAGTGGTGAACTGCCTGCTAGTTTCCATTGCCATCTCCACTGTTAGCCTGTTTTATTGGGAAGGACCTGCAACCGCAGATTTGTTGATTCCTAAAGCTTCCTGCGCTAAAAGTAGACAGGGTTCAGCCTGGGCCTAGGACTTTGGACACTAGCTCAGAGCACCAGATCTGGAGACTGCTCTGGAGTAAAAATTCGTGTAATTTCACTGGACACTCAAGAGTCTTTCTTAAAGAATGTTCTCAGCCTCTGAATCAACTCATGTAAGAGACTTCTGTACAAGTCATATTTCTGTCCATGTCTGTCACAAAGTTGAAAATGAGTCATCATCTTAAAAGCATTTTAGAAAACCAGGAAATACTATTTAGATGTGGACAAGGTTCAAAGATAACAAAAGGCATAAAAGTTAGGGGCCTGAATAATATTGAAAATGAAAATCCATCTGAAACCCTAACCCCTCCCCTATAACACATATATATAGTATAACTGTTTGGTTACTATGGTTAGTATTCCTCTAAGTTTTTCATTTTTACAAGAGTGAAACCACACTACTCTTGTGATATGCCGCTGGCCTTTTCCTTGTACAATATATCTTGGACATCTTTCCAGTCGGCGCCGAAAGAGTAACCTCATTTTCACCTGTCCTCACACTGTGCTGAGCTTCTGAGAGCAGCCACAGAGTGAGAAGGGCATCAGGAGCAGAGCCCATGAGGCGGAAGCAGAGATTGGAAGGAAGAGATCAGTATATCAGCTCCTTAAAGTGTTTGGGCTTTAAAAAGGTTTTCTCATTAACCATCCAAGTGATGGCTTCTACTTTGGACTAAATGGATTCCAGTATATAGTTCTTGAAGCATAGCCACAGCCACAGCACTAGGTGGTGGCCTAGAATATAGATCAGTTTTGCACATGGAGAAAGTTGTCAGTGGTGGCTTCTCTCCAACTGAGCCAGGAACACTGGATTTGCACCAGGCATTTGAACCCAGTCGAAGAGGTAGGTCCACAGGTGAGTGCCTGCCAGACAACAATTCTTAACTGTTCACATCTTGAGTGGCTTATGGGGACTGGACTTGGTTTTGCTTTTTCTGAAACCTCTAGAACAATCTCTCACATTTTACTTGTCTATCTTCCTGTTCCAGGATTGATCTTGCCAAATGGAGACATTAACTGGAACTGCCCGTGCCTTGGGGGAATGGCCAGTGGCCCCTGTGGGGAACAGTTCAAGTCAGCCTTTTCCTGCTTCCACTATAGCACGGAGGATGTCAAGGGATCGGACTGGGTAGACCAGTTCCGGGCCATGCAGGACTGCATGCAGAAGTACCCAGACCTTTATCCCCAAGATGAGGAAGAGGAGGAGGAGGAGGAGAAGAAGCCAGCAGAACGTTTAGAGGAGGTAGCTCCCACTAAGGCTACTGCAACCAAAGAAGAGGAGGGGTCAAGCTAATGAAGGCCGTGTGGCACTGGGCTTCAGGCCTTCCACCTCAGAGTGATATGAACCTTTTGCAAATGCCTTTCCGTCACTCTCTAAGAAAGTGTCTTTCCCTCTATTGTTCTGTGCACTGTAATGTACAAAATAACTTATTTTGATGATCAGGGGTCTTGGCCTCTTGACATGTACACTGAAAAAAATGGGGTTGTTTGTATGTGTGTCTCACAAAAGCTATCAGTGAATGTAGCTGCTGCTTTTGAATTCTCTTCTCAGATTACCCTGAATTTTGCCACTTTGAAATAATGTGCTGAATATTCTCAGCAACGAAAAATCTATCTAGGAGTATCTCTTGTGTGTGAGCTGATTTATTCTGATTCATTATCTCCCTTTTAGGAGATTTTAGACCTAGTTCAAGAAATGAGATAGAAACAAAAACATCTTCCTTTAAAAATGCTGGAGTGGAGCCATTCCTAATACAAGAGGCCAGGTGATCAGATACTTATTTCTCAAAAACCATCTTGACCTTGAGTATATGAGAAAGCACTATACTTCATTTTCTGATACATTTTGGTTTCCGTTTTTACATTGAGCTCCAGGTTTTCTTTTTGAAAAATGGAGCTTTCGACCCTCTGACTCACTGTCCCTTTCTAAGTGAAGAAAAAGGCTGGTTTTTGTTGTTCTTATTATTCCAGAAGCCCTGATTCAGGGCCTGTGTTCCCAGTGGATCAGTCTCAGCCTGTTCAGATGCAATGTTCTTGAGAGGTGGGGACCTAATTGTTACCAAAGTAGCAGCCAAGAGAGGAAACTGTGAATTAAGTGGTCAAATTAAAAGGAAAACATGATTTTTACCTGATTTTGAATGTGTCCTTCCTTATTACTAATTAAAAGTGTTTTTGATACAAGGATATACAAATTATGAAAAGTTAGATTAAGACTTCTCTTTGAAGATACTGGTAAACCAGTTTGAGTCTGTTAACAGTTAATCCATAAGGTGGGGAAGGCTCTTCTCATTTCATTTGAAGATAAGGAACCAAAGCCCCTGCAGGTTAAGTAACTTGCCCAAGGTAACTGCTAGACAGTTTTCAGGCTGTAATATAGTAATGATTCATTTGTTCTGGGTGTATTGGTTATCTGTTGCTGTGTAAAAAGTTATCTTAAAACGTAGCAGCTTCAAACATCTATTTCACGATTTCTGTTGGTCAGGACTCAATATGGCTTACCTGTGTCCTCTGATGATCAGGGGTCTTGGCCTCTTGACATGTTTCTCACACTGTGATTGATTTGTTGGCCAGGGTTGCAGTCATCTCAAGCCTTGACAGGCTTTCCAAAATCACTCAGGTGGTTTTGGGCGGGATTCAGTTACTTGTGGTTTGTTAAACTGAGGGCCCCAGTTCCTCACTGGCTACTGATCAGAACCATCCCTCAGTTCCTTGTCACATGGGCCTCTCCCTAGGTCAGCTCACAACATGGCAGGTGGCTTCCATCAGAGGAAGCAAGAGAACAAGATAGAGTGAGAGCCTTTTTGTAAATTCATCTTAAATGACATTCTCTCACTTTATCATAGTCTATTTGTTAGAAGTGAGTCACAGCTCACCCTCGAGGAAGGACACAAGGACCTGCAAATCAGAAGGCTGCCAACCGCACCAGAGAACAAGGTAACAACACATTAAAGTTTGAACGTACAGTTAGATGTGAAGAATTGTAGTGCTGAGCTGTCGTAAAGAACTGTGGCATCTGTACCCAGAACTTTTCAAATACTTGGTTAAGAGCCAAGAACCAGGAGCTGCCCAAGTTTGAGAGCTGTGACAGCCCTGTGAAGGGCCCTTGTGACTTCTTTTGTCCTAAGATAGAGCCTTGCACATTTAACAAACACTTCTTTTCAGTGAAAATTTTGATCACCACCAAGATCTTACTGCTTTGTGAATGTGTCATGGGTGTCATTCATTTTATGCATTCAGGAAGTCTTTATAGGTCCAAGTCCTAGGGCCACAGGAAAATGAGTCTTGTATGGTACCTGCTTGCATGAAGTCAGCATTTATTAGGAAGTAGAGGAATGAATGGGTGTTGCATGATGGCACTGTATTCTCAAGGTAGGTTATTTTCTTCTAGCCATGGTAACTTACAGCAGAGACTCTCAAGCTGTCTTTGTCCAAGCCTACTTGATTAGACAAAAGATTCCATCCTTTCACAGTTTTCAGTGGAAAAACAACTTGGTGATAAGTGCCACTGCATAAGCAATGGAGATTATGCTTTAGAATCGGGTTTGAAGAATTCTTTTTTTTTAAACTGAGGTGTAATTAACATATAACATTATATTAGTTTCAGGTGTACAACCACATAATGATTTGATATTTATATACATTGTAAAATGATCACCACAATAAGTAGTTAACACCCATTACCATATATAGTTACAGAATTTTTTTTCTTATGAGAACTTTTAATACCTACTCTCTTAACAACTTTCAAATATGTAATACAGTATTGTTAACTATAGTTATACATTACATCCAACTGGAAATTTGTCCCTTTTCACCCCCATCACCCATTTTGCCCAGCTCCCATCCCCCACCTGTCTGTTCTCTATGAGCTTGGTTTGGGGGTTTTTTGGATTTTTTTTTAGATTCTACGTGTAAGTGAGATTGTATGTCTTTGTCTTTCACTTAGCATAATGCCCTCGAGGTCCATCCATGCTGTTGCAAATGGCAAGATTTCATTCTTATTTATGGCTAGGTAGTTTTCCAGTGTGTTTGTGTATGTATACACCACATTTTCTTTTAGTTTATTTTAAAATGCCATGTATCTTCGTAAGCAAAAATCTTCAACAGGCTAAAAAGGTAAAGATAAATGCAGAAGCGATCATTTTTAAAGAACAGCAGCAATGGAAACAAAGCAACTTGAGGGCACACTGATTTGGAAATGCTAACTGTCTAAAGGTGTTTTTGTCCTTTGTTATTTTGTGTTGCGGCTTCCTAGAATGTTGAATTTTAGACCATAGAGTAAATTCTATGACTGTATAGATGTTAATTAATAACATACTTGGTAAACCATAATGTCTCAAACTACTAGGACATAGACCTTATGTGAAATGTTCCTCTTTCACCTGGAAGAACTAAAGAAAAGTCATGCATTTTTAGATAGTTTCACTTAATCTCAACATCCGCTGTGCCCAGAATGTTACTTTTGGATATCACTTGTCAGTCTGATATAAGTAGATAGACTTTCTCCTTTATTCAGATGAAGCATGGAGAAAAAGAGCACTTAAGTCATCAGAATAGGGCATTAAGAACACACAAGTAGAGATCTCTATGAGCTGGTAATTGAATCACTCTACTGTCATACGTATTTGAAAATTTCCATAATAAAATGTTTAAAAGCAAATACTAAAGAGAAGTGTTTAACCACTTCTCGTTACCTCTGGTCGGTGGAGGTGCAAGCCAAACAGTTGCTGTGTGCCGCATAGTGGCTATGTAAGACAGCTATAATTAAAGCTCAAAGCTTAAAATCAAGGCTGATGGGAAAAGTTATTTTAAAAGATTGATCAAATTGAAGTCTGTCTTTATCTCATTCCTGTTCTCTGCATCTTCCAGAGGTAACTATTGTCATAATTTAGTGTATCCTTCCAATCTACATTTTTATGATTTTCAAAAAATTATGGTACAATATATATAACAGAATTTACCATTTTAACCATTTTCAAGTGTACAGTTCCATAGTATTAGATACGTTCACACTGTATAACTTCGACTGCAGTCCATCTCCAGAACTTGCTGAAACTCATACCCATTAAATACGAATTCTCCATTTGACTCCCTGCCCCAGGCTCTGACAACCACCATTCTAGTCTTTGTCTGTGAATTTGACTACTCTAGGTACTTCTTATAAGTGGGGTCATATAGTATTTGTTTCTTTGTTACTAGCTTATTTCACTTCACATAATGTCCTCAAGGTTCATTCATGTTATAGCATGTATGAGAATTTCCTTCCTTTTCGAGGTCAAATATATTCCATTATATGTATAAACCACATTTTGCTTATCCATTTACCTGTCAGTGGGTACTTGGGTTGTTTCCACCTTTTGGCTATTGTGAATAATGCTGGTATGAGCATAGTTGTGCACCTTCCAGTCTGTTTTTAACACATTTACCTGTGAGCAGTACTTAATTTTTAAAAAGTTTGACAGTGGCATACTAGACACATTTTTCTGCAGCTAACATTTGTCGTTATTTCGGAAGTCTGTTGATAACATGCAGCTCTGGATCATTTTGAGTAATATACTGCATTCTGTCGTAAGTTTATACTTTATTTTCTCCATTTTTCTATAATTTCTAATTAATACCTAGTGAGAGTAATGCTGGTAGGAGCATCCTTGTACAATCTCCCTGAGCACAGATACCTACTCTGGGGAATATATCTGGAAATAGAATCACTGAATGGTAGAGTGTGCACATTTTCAGTGTAATTTGGTTTTCCAAGTTTCTCTCTTAAGTTGCTCTGCCAATTTATATTCTTCCACCAACAATAAACAAGAATTCTTTTCATTTATTTATGTTCTTGCAACCTTTAATATAGTCAAGTTTTTTTAATTGCATTATAGTTGACATATAACATTATTTATCTGTGCAGCATGATTTGATATTTCCATACATTGCAAAGTGATCACCACAGTTATTCTAATTACCATCCGTCACCATACGTAGTTTCAGATTTTTTTTTCTTATGATGAGAAATTTTAAATTAGTCACCATGCTGTACATTATATCCCTGTAACTTATTCATTTTACAACTGAAAGTCTGTACCTTTTGACCCCATTCATTTTTCCCACCTCTCACATCCTGTACCTGACAACCACTAATCCATTCTCTATCTATGAACTTATTTTAATTTTGTTTTGTTTACATTTCACATACAAGTGAGGTCATGTGGTATTTGTCTTTCTCTGTCTGACTTATTTCACATAGCATAATGCTCTTGTCCATCCATGTTGTTGCAAATGGCAAGATTTTATTTTTTATGGCTCAATAATATTCCACATATATGTTTATTTCCACATGTAGCACATTTTCTTTATCCATTCATCTGTTGTTAGACGCTTATTTACAATCTTGGCTATTGTGAATAATGCCGCAATGAACATGGTAGTGCATATATCTTTTGAGTTAGCATTTTCATTTTCTTTAGATAAATATCCAGAAGTAGAATTATTGAATCATATGGTAGTTCTAGTTTTAATTTTTTGAGGAACCTCCATACTGTTTTCCATAGTGGCTGCAGTCAGAGTTTAATATTTTTTGCAGATGGTATAAAAGCCTCGACAAAATTGCTATCCTCTAACTCCCGGACTAGATCTATAACATCCCTCGTTTTCTTACTTTATTGGAGATCTCAGGCATACACTTAATGCTGAGTGCTAGAGTAGAGGCCCAAGTTTTCTAAATGAATGCACAACAAAAATCTTCCATTCAAGATGAGCTTGCCAATCTTGAAACTAGGCAGTAATCGAATGAAATTCAACTCAAATTCCAGTTAAGTAAATAAGTAGATAAAGCGGCAACATACATAAAAGCAAGAAATTTGACAATGGATTCTTAGATTGACCTTCAAAAGCACGAGCAACAGTCTACAGTGTGGGAGAAAATATTTCCAAATCATATACCTGATAAGGCTCTAGTATCTAGAATGTCTGAAGAATTCTTACAACATACTCCTCAAAAAAAAGAAGAACCCAATTTAAAAATGGACAAAGGTCTTGAATAATTTCTCCAAAGAAGATAATGCGAATGGCCAACATGAAAAGGTATTCAGAATCATTGGTCATTAAGGAAATGCAAATCAAAACCACAGTGAAATAT